TTTATTGTTATTATTACTTTTTGTTTTCTTTCGGTTTGTTTCTTGTTCTGTTCATGCTCTCTCTGTGTTTCTGACGACACCACTTGTTTCCGCTCTGCTACCAGGAATTATCCCGAAAAGTTAACATGTCAGCCACGGCTTCACCTTCTGTGCTCTGCGGACACTTGTTGACGGAAGGCAACCGATGTAGACTGTCCAAGGACCAGTCCTGTTTGAGGTTCCCAGCCTCCCCTCTCCCTTCAGGAAGTGGGTTTCTCCCCCACTTCTCCCCAAACATCTCCCCAGTGCACGCTTTTTTCTTTTTTTTTTTTTTTTTTTTTTTTTTTTTTTTTTTTTTTTTTTTTTTTTTTTTTTTTTTTTTTTTACCTCTCTCTTTTTCATTTTTGGTGCTCCACAAGAGAGATCTGCTCAGTTATGGGATTGCAAAGTCTGGGCTGAAAGGAGGTTGCAAATTGTTGGAGAGAAACCTTTGCCCTTGGCAGCTTCTGTCCGCGCAGGTGAACTCAGCCTGGAGCAGGAGGGTGCGGGGAAGGAGACGGGGTAGTGGGAGCGCAGTGTTGCGTGGATCCAGAGCGCGTTCTCATCAGAAACCAGCCAGGAGCAACTCAAAACCAAGACAGTATTGGGGAGCTTCATCACAGGATTTTCTTAACCTTCTTTTTCTCCCCACCACCTTTTCTGTTTCTTTTGCCCCCTTTTTTAATGTATATATACGTGTATATTTATGTGCGTATATTTTGATTAAAATATACATGCATACATATATATATATATACACAGAAAATAATTGTGTTTTGTTTTGATTCGTTTTGTTTTTAATGCTGTCTCATTTTGCTTTTTTGACCTGCTGGAAGGGGAAAGGAGTAAACTTAGGAGGGAGAGGGGGATTAAACGAATAAACACATACAAACAAAACATGAAAACTTAGGGAAAAGGCAACTTCTGGTAGCAAAGAAGAGGGACAAGACTCTGCCAAGGACTGTCTCTCCCGCCGCCAGGCACGGTTGCTGCTGCTGCTACTGCTGTTCCTCCTTCGACATCTTCCTCCCCATCTGTCAGCTCCCTGCCACTGTGCCACCGCGCTGGGACCTTCTTCCACCAGCTGGAGCCTCCACCGCACCCTGCATTTAGAGGCAATTGTTGTGTTGCTAGTGCTGCATTGATATCAGTATTATTATTTCTTTAAGTTACCGACTTCATTCGTTGGCTTGGGTGAATTTTTTTCTTACAAAAAAAAGAAGAAAAAAAAAAAGGAAAAAAAAAACAAGAAAAAAAGAAGACGAAGAGGAAGAAAAGAGACTTATCTTGGGTTTTATTTCCTGTGTGTGTGTGTGTGCAAATCACTGGCACTTAGTTCATCTGAGCAAGGCAAGGTGGAGTCAGGGCAATGGGAGACTTAATCACGAAGCTACTGTAAACTTTAAAAATTACTGCAAGATATTTTTATAAAGTTTTAGTTTTTCTTTTTGTTTTGGTTTGTTTTGGTTTGTTGTTTTGTTTTGTTTTGTTTTGTTTTGTTTTTGAAGGGGAGGAGGGTGGGGTTGGGTGGATGGGGACCTTTTTTTTTTTGCGTTTCAGTTCTTAGGTCTTGGTTATTTATATATACATATATATATATTTAAAAAATAAGCTGTTAGATATATCTTCTGTTTAATAACTGTGTAGAGGCAACATCGATTCTTATTTATTTTGCGGAGGAGGGGGAAAAAAGGCACAGCAACCCCGTAAGTGTTCATCTTGTGACTTTGAGAAAGAAGAATCGCCGCCTTTCTTCCCCCTCCTCAGGAGTTACGTGACCAAGTGTAACTTATTCTGGCCCAAGTTCAAAGGTTAAACAAACAGACAAAGAAACAAACGTGGTCTTACGCCTGGAAGACAAAACACAGTGAGAAGTTCTTCTTGACTGAGATTTTAAGAATGTAGGCTTAGCATTAGTGTTCAGCTCTTTTATGACCTTCGATTGCTGCTCGTTGGGTTCCTATGGGTGTATGTTGTATCGCAAGATTATTCTTATTTTTTTTAAATGATAATGTTGTATGAGTTCTTTTTGGTTGTTGTTGTCGTCGTTGGTTTTTTTAATCATTTTTCCCCTTCTCGGACCAGTTTTACTTGTACATAGGTTTGAAGATTAAAGCGAATTTTTAAAGACACAACTGGGGCAAAGACCTTTGACTTTGGCCCCGCTTCCCCATTCCCCCAAAACGGGAGGGATTTATTTTACGTTTCCGTTCTATTTATTTATTTATTTTCCCTACTCCCAACCTTTTCTCTCGTATTGCTGTGTGCATGTCAGACACCGGGGGGTGATGGCTGGGGAGGGGGGGAGGCAAGGGTGCAGGAGAGGGGGGCAGTTTTAATTGCATGACATTGCTGTAAATTAGTCTCTTTTGCTTTCGTTGTCTTTCCTGCCTCCGCCCTCTCTCTACTTCTCCTCCGAGCTCCCCTCCCATCACCCCCGTCCTTCTTTTCCCTCTTTTCTCTTCCCTTGTGTATAGATTTTGATGCTTCTGTTACATTGTACCTCTACGAAAGGCTGGGATTTCAATACAAAATAATAATAATAATTTAAAAAATACCTATATCAGCAAAACCCACGTGGTACAAGCAGGAAGGGGATTACTTACACAAGATATAAGAATAAACGAAAGCAATACCTCTTGTTATCCTTCCTATTTTGTACTTTGAAGACACACACGCGCGCACACACACATATACAGACACAAACTGACGTTATTTAATGGTTTAAAATGGACAACAAAAATCTGATGTATCCCTTGTTAAATAACTGTGAGCAACTTTAGTTCAAAAACCAATAAATTCATTCAGTAAAGATACGAGCTGTGGCGTGTCCTCTTTGTGTCCGTCGGACGAGTCCGCCCGGCCCGGTAAGTAGCGCGGCACCGCGTTCCGCAGCGGGGCAGAACCGCCCGCCCCGCGCTGCCTGTAGGGGGCGCTGCTCCCAGCCGCCCCGCGCTGCCTGTAGGGGGCGCTGCTCCCAACCGCCTCCAGTTGTCGAGGCGCAGCTCCGCGCGCGCTCGGCGGGAAGGGGGCGGCACGCGACGCGGCTGAGGTGGGGAGGCTCGGCGCTTCTGGAAGGTTCCGCGGTGCTGCCGCAGCACGGAGAAGACAAGCCATCAGGTTCCAGGGCGGATTTATTGATTTGCTGAGCGAGGTGAGGGGGAAGACGGTGTCCTGAAAATGGAGGGGATAAGCAAACGCTGCGGGCGCTGTAAGGCTGGGAGCTGGCATGGCGGTGCGTGGAAGGAGCTGCTGCTGGGACGGTCTCAGCCCGCCTCCCGTACGTGTGTAACCGTGGTCCTTCGCGCTGCTGCTTGTGCTGGTCTTCACGTGCTCTGAGGTTTCTGCAGAGGGCAGGACCTCACGCTCACAGCCTACCCGTTTGTTCTGCCTTCTTTGGCTCTGAACAACGGCAGAAGGAAAACAGTTGTGCACAGCCGAGGAGAGGATCGGTGACAGTGGGCTGTGGTTGTACTGGATGATCTCCGTGGTCTTTTCCAGCCTTAATGGTTCTACGATTCTGTTCTGTTACAGTCTCAGCTGGTTGATGCTCTCTTATCGCTGCATAGGAGAGATTGTTCTTTCGGATGAGCAGAATTTACATTTAACTTTCCCTCCACAGCCCCTTTTCCATTGCGTAGCTTGAATGAGAAGGCAGGCAGTAACCACAGCAGAGGATTTTGCTCTTTCTCTGTGCTGCCAGGTGCCGGCTGGGAGCTCATCCAATCCCAGCACCAGGTGATGTCTGCCGAGATGCCCTGAGCTGCAACACCTGTGCCTGAGCTGCAGCAGCTGAGCTTTGCTCTGGTGCCCATCCTCTCAGGCCTCCTGTTCTCCTTGGAGCTCCCCTCCCCCAGGCTTTGTACCTCAAACACTGGCTGTGCTTAACCTCCATCTCTGATATTCCCTGCGTACACAGCATTCTGCTTCCAGGGTACAAATTGAAGACAGAGAAAGTGTGTAAGACACCAGTCAGCATTTTCTATTTGTCTGTACACGCTCGCATGTGCATTTTGTTTAGATAATGCATATGTGAAAATGTGTCTGTGCTGAAGGTGAGCTGTCATTAATTGAACCAGTACATGACATGCTGTATGTATAAGCAGTGAATTGTGTGTACGTGCATTAAATGAGCAGCTGAGGCTGCTGAGGTGTGGAGATGATTCTCATTGCCACATGTCAATGTGCAGTCAGTTTGAGGGCTGAGAAGGAAGCCGGTTGTTTTTGACAGCACTAATGCAAATTGTCTAAGATTTGTAAGTGATCCATAAGAATTTCCTCACCAGTCAGCTTGGCTTTAATGAAAGTGATCTGGTACAAGTGGGTGAGCTTTAATGGCTTGGACTAGTCAGGGGTGAGGAGCTGTATTTGTTAAAACAGCAAAACCTGTGTAATGCCTCCAGGTAGTGCTAATTCCAGCACTTGCTGTTAGGAGGTGTGCCTTTCCTCCTGCTGGGTCAGGCAGTGCCTTTAACCCAGCAGGCTCGGCGATTTCTTTCCTGCTGCAGCTGAATGCCCACAGGCAGTGTCTGCAGGACTGGTACTGTACCTTGACTTCATTTCAGCTCTGTTATACATTGATGTTTGTATGTGAGCTCCTGGAAGAAGAGCAGGCTGTTTTGGTAAGGAAGCAGATTTAGTTCACAGGTTTCTTATTATAGAAAACAGAGAGGGGAGGGAGACTTGTTTAAAAACTGGAAAATGTCTTAGCTCTTTGTTGTACCCCTTAATCTCCTTATTTTATTTAAAACCACTTCAGCAGCTGCAGCTCCTGCTTAATTTGGAGAACAAAACCTGAGCAGTTCAACTGGCTGGGGACAGTGGAGGCCACAAGTGGAAGGGAAACCCGCGCTGAGGGCTAGTCCTTTCTTTTCCTTAATGCACAACTTATTGTATGGGTTATTTTTAGTGCTGTAATCTTGCTGAGTGCTGCTGAGAGAAACTGTGCCAGGCGGGCTGGCAGGCTTTGAAGGGACTGGGAAATGGGATTTCCTGTTCCACCGGCTCAGAGCTGACTCTTGCTATTGTCAGGAGCTATTATCGCCTCCTTGCAGCCAAGGCAGATAACGCAGCTTCAAGGTCAGGGAAGACGCAGGCTCTGAGCAGCAGCCCTAGCAGTAGGAAGAGTATGCGTGCGGTCAGGGTGTTTCTGCAGCTGCTGCAGTTCGGGGCACTGCCTGGGAAGACGGCTCTGCCTGCGGATGGCAGAAGCGCAGTTGAGGTCGGATGGGATTTCTGCAGGCTGATCCCAGCCCTGCTTGCAACTTCACAGGGCAACCTGTCCCTGATGTGCCTGCAGGGAGACAAGGGAGATTCTGGTTCCCCGCTTCTCATTCTCCCCACCTGCTCTCTGCTGTGGCTCCTGCCTTCCTGCTAAGCATCACCTCCTGTTCAGACGCGAGCGGGACTGGCAGGCAGCGTTTCACCCATGCTGCTCACAGCATGTCCAGGGAGGATGCTCACCATGAGGTAGGGAGTGCTTGCAGATCTAACAGACAGAAGTGTGTCAGAAAAAGCAACGGTGCTTGCATGAAGTTTCATATACTCTAGAAAAGTTATTCTGTCTGGATAAATCCTCTGTGAACATCTTCATAAAGTACAGCCAGCCTCCAGCATGGATGAAATGAGGCTGAAGCAAAGGCCCTCCTGATCCGACACCAGGATGTGCACCCTGCAGTTAACTGAAATCAGATTTTGGTGTAATCCTGTTCGTGACTCTTCTCTCAGTCAGGCCTTGCTATGTATATAAATGGTATAGGACAGCAGCACTCTGAAGCAGAAGCTTGGAAGCAGTTTGCTGCAGAGTTGATAGTTGCACTGGGAGTTCTACTGGAGCTATGTAAGTTAGGGGTGCTTTGAGGATATGCAGAAAGCCATTTTTTTAGCATTGTTTTTTAAGTGGAGTCCTGATGGAGACCTTCATATCACTTATGGGTGCAGTGTGGGGGGATGTTTCTCTCTCTCCAGGAGCATTCAGTTTTAGCACTGATTTGCACAATGAGAACATAAATAGGCACAAACTAATGTGAAGTTTGCTTACTTTGGGTCTGAAGTGTGGTCCCAGTTCCTGGCCCCTGCTCCTGTGTTGTGGTACATGCCTGCTGCTGTTCCTGCTGTGAGCCTCCCTTGCAGAGGGCTTTGTGGAGCACCATTAAAAGCATGGTACAAGCAATAGGTAATTGTGTTCAGCTATTCCTGCTACATTGCAGCTGAGGAATAGAAGGCAGACCTTTTGTCTGAAACATAGTGGCTTGGGTCCCTGGGGTTGCTGACTCCAGGTGGATCCATCTCCATGTGAGCCATCCACGTGTTGTACTTGGCACAGGTGCTTGCCTTGTTCTCTGACTTGCACTGGGGGACTCAGAACTGGCCCTGGGGTGGGCCTGCAGAGAGACGGGCTGCACACAGACATATGTGGCTGTGGATGTCCTGGTGTTAAACTGCTGAGCTCTGTTCTCCTGCAGGAAACCAGAGTGAAGATTCAAATAGCAGTTAACCTTACGCATTGGATGTGGAGCACAGCAACGATGATAGCTTTGTCAGTACTTCACACAGGGTGAATGAGAGCTTCATTGGGCTATGGGTAAATGAGAGCAGGTATCTGAGGGCAAGATAGCACCACTCTGTTCCCTTCCCTGCCCCTTGCCTTGCATTGAAGTGTAAACTGGTAAGCCTGTGGAGAGGAGGCTGAATCCTTTGCTGTGCAGCCGGCTTGTACTGGTGGATTTCTCTGCACTGGCAGTACTAGTCCTGGGTGGAACAACTGAGGGGGTGCCCCAACAAGCCCCTTGGTGCAGAGGCTGGATGGAAAATGCATGCAGAGCAGGCACAGCTCTGTGCTGCTGCTTCCTTGTGGCCGTGCTTAACTTCTTTTTGGCTTGCTGGAGCTTGGTGGTGCTGCAAGGGACTGAGCTCAGTGCTGATGGTGGAGGTGGTGCTCAATTTGAGACCAAATGGTTGCCACAGCCACACTGAGATAACAGCGGGACGTGGCCAAAATAGAACCTGTTTGTGGCTGCATGAGATTCCATGTGTGTATCTTCTTGTGTTTATTTATCAACTATGTATCTACACCTGTGTATTCCATCCAAGGTCCTGTCTCCTGGGTCAGGAGGGTGACCTGTGGAGGTGACACCGCAGGGCCTTTTATCTGCCTTCTTGGGTTATCTGTCTTTCCTACTTATCATTTATTTACAAAGGATGACTCAGCAGCTGTTGACTGGGCAAATGCTGCTCTGTGCACCTCAGCCAGGTCTGGCAGCAGGAGAAAAGCTTGGAGCTGCCCTCAAGGCTTTGCCATTGCAGTGTGCAGGGCAGGGATGCCAGGAGCTCTGGGGTTGAGCAGCAGGTCTGGCTGCAGGGATGGAGCCTCTCAGAAGGGATGTGCCTGATGTGCTGCTGCTAGCAGAGTGCTGGTGTGTTTGTACGTTTATTTGTAAGGGTGGTGCCTGCGATGGCTGTGTTCTACTTATGTGAAACTTCACAGTCCTGGGTGCAGCTGAAGGAGAAGGCTTCTAGGAGAGCTGAGGTCTGTTTTGTTCTTCTGAAGCTGTTAATCTTGGAGCTTTTGGCTATCCTATGCAGGCTTTTTATTAGGCTTGTCAGCTGCTCTGTGTGGACTAAACGGCCTCAGCAAAGAATTGCCACTGACACTGAGAATAGGTGCATGGCTGGGTCCCCTGGATGCTTCTGTTCTCCAAATAATGAATATTGTAAAACATCTATTTTCTCCGCTGCTGTGTGTAGTGATATGGGGGAAGCTGAGCTTTTGATGGTGTGCAGCCCGGTAAGTCCTGCAGCAGGCAGCCTGCAGCATTCCCCATAGCTGCCAAAAGCTGACTGTGGGATGTGGTTGCGCAGCCACAGCTGGCCCAGCTCCAGGCTGACGTGCTGCTGACGCACTCTGCTGGATCCGCTGCTCTCACCCACTCATTTGCAGGCTCTGAAATACGCTGCGTGGGACAGCGCTGCCTGCCTTGCTGCTGCCTCACAGTTGCCCTGAGAGGAGGTTCCTGTGCGTGGATTGAGGCAGCGTGCTGGTATGCTTCCATTCCACTGGTGCCTGCCCTGCTGTGTGCTGCTGCCACGTGTTTCCTGGGGAGCATGGAGCTTTGTGAAGGCAGCACGGTGGCCAGTGTTAGGGCATTCTGTGGTGGGGTGCCTGCAGGCTGTATGTGCTACGCTGACCGTGTGAGCACTCAGAGGAAGGAGCAGTGCAGGCCTTCCCATAGCTATTCTATAGGCTGGTATGATAGCTACTGCCCAAATGGTGTCATTCTGGCAACCCAGACACAGAACAAGGTTGCAGGAAGGAGGAATTGTTTCTTGTACCACTTGATGTTTAGAAAAGGGCCAATAATACCTGTGATTTGTGCACTTAGTGTTGCGATTTAACCCATCAGGCAGCACAGCACTACTCAGACATTTGCTCCCTGTCCCCCCTCCCAGTGAGATGGGGAGGAGAATCAGGGAAAAAAAAAATTAAAAAAAGAGGTGGAACTCGCACATTGCCCACCTGACTGATGCCCAGCCAAGTCCCAGAGCAGTGGCAGCTCCCCAGTCAGCTTTCCCCAGCATTTATAGTATTTCATGCTATCATATGGTGTGGGATGTCCCTTTGGACAGTTTAGGTCAGCTGTCCCAGTGCTCTCCTCTCCTGGCTTCTTGTGCAGCTGCAGCCCCCTCGCAGGCAGGGCACTGCAAGAAGCTGGGATGTCCTTGGCTCAGTGCTGCCTTGCAGTAAGTAAGCTTCACTGTATTATCAGCACTTTTTCTCCTTAAGCCAAAACAGCATCATACCAGGTACTGTGAAGAAAGTTGGCCGTATCCCAACTTAAACCAGGACAATTAGAAAAGACTGAATAGATTGATTTGGTCAGATCAGTGTGGCAAAGGGTAATGGCAGTGAGTCATTGAAAGAGAACTTTTTAACGGAGACAGACTCTGAAGCATCTCGTTGTTGCTTCAGCTGATGGCAATCTGCATAGGGTCATTGGCCTCACTGGTTTAAGCTTTAGATCTGACTCAGAATGAACAATAATTTTGGCTCCAGGTTTCACTTCTGCCCTTGTCCTTTCCCTTTGCTCTCTAGTGCTCAGATATGTTCAGAGCACGGGAGCTGGCACAGCTGCTGGATTATCACACAGTCCCAGGGAAAGCACTCGGGTTTTCCTGACTTAGCTGTCAGCTTCAAGAAGGGAACAAAGTGGTGTTGCTCAGGGAAAAGCTCCTTGGCGGTGTTACAAACAGAGGGCTCATGTGGATTGGTTTTGTGCTTTGTGTACAAGGGCTGTGACTTGTTGTATTCCCTTCTGAGATTGAAATGAAGAGTCTTGTAGATGAAAGTGGGCTTGCTTTAAAACCCTCAGCTCAGCTTGTATGATGGTAGTCCATGCGCATTTTACACTACAGAGGAGTGAAAAATGTAAGAAAATTTCTTAGTTTAAGTGCAGCAGTTTTAAGTTTGACCAATTTGCTGTAGCTTTTAGTCTTACTTTTAATATTGCTGGCATGTGGGGCCTTGGTTTGGTTAGTGACCTAAGCAGGGGCTAGCTAAGGCCCTTTGAATTACTTTCAGATTCCTGTCTTCCAGGTTTGTGTGGAACCAGCGGACAGTTCAACTGCTCAGTGGGCAAAAAAAAAGGAGAGGAGCAGATGGAGTGCTTACTTAAGCTTACTTCATTATGAGCACCTGGCTTTGAAGAAGGCCTGTGTTTTCATGTCATGGACCAGAAGCCATTCACCAGCAAAATGAAACAGTGCTCTTAGAAAGAACCCGAGCTATTTATTTGAGGAGCACCTGGATCAGAAATGAATGAGAATCCAATAATAACAGTTAATTAAACTGTTGTAAGAAGTGTTTTAATCTCTCTCCTCCAGCTGTAGTTTCACTTTTGCCTTCATCAGGGAGATTATAATGAAGTGTGGAGTGCTTCTAATCCAATCAGAATTCCTGAATGGATCAGTGTTTGTCCTGCTTTCACATTTAAGCAGTGGTTACACCACAATATTAACTTAGTAACGAGATAGCAATCTTGCACTGAATTCAGCCCAGAGGCTCAATGCAGGCAGGAGAAAGATGATTCCAGGTATCTGTTCTGCTCAGTGGTCTGTGGAAGTCAGTGCAGCAAGGCCAGGTTTGTGCAGGTGTCAAACCACCCCGTAGTCAGGTGGAGCCCGAAGAAGCCACACTCAGATCCTGCCCAGCCCTGAGGGCTCCTGCGAGCGCGAGTGGTTTAGCAACACCGTGACAGAGACAAGCTGCAGCCTATCTCAGCCTGTGTTCTGCTGCTGCTCTGCAGAGCACTCCTATTGAGCTGCCTCCTGCACACACACACAGCACAGTCCTTTAGCTGGGCAGCCTGGAGCTGCTCAGCAGGGAGGTTCTGGCTGAGCGCTGCTGGGTGTGAAGCAGGGCAGCTATGGCTCATTCCCTGAGCGTCTCCTGGTCTTTCCCACTGCATGTCATAACTGTGTGCCTGTTGCCCTGCAGCCTGTCAGCGAGCAGGGGGAGTTTGTGGCTCTGTGCACGCAATACAAACAGGCTGTTTCTCTATGCTGAGCAGCTGTTGCAGAGGGGTTTACAGTTGCAAGGGGCTGAATGTTATTAGATGTTCAGGTGGCACCATGTGTGCGGTGCTGCGGTGCTGAGCTTTGTGTGAGCTGGAGCTAATTTGGCTTAAGCCCTGAACTCAGATAGTGGGTTTGTACTGCAAAATCTCCTGTGGAAGGATCTGAATCTGTGCAGTTGGGAATTGCTGCTCTGGCTTTCTTTTGCTCAGTAGTGTAGAATGACACATCCCATTCTTCCCAAGCATTTGGCTTCTTTTGGCTGTTTGGCAGCAGGGTGCCTACCAGTGTCTGCAGTGCCTGACTGCTTTTCCTCATACCTACTGCTGAATGTCATCTTTCTGGGAGTGAGGTGAGGGACTTGCTAGTGTCCTGTTGGGTCAGTTGGTGCAATCATAGAATCACGGAATGGCTTGGGTTGGAAGGGACCTCAAGGATCACCAAGCTCCAACCCCCCTGCCTCATATCTCTAATACTACACCAGGCTGCCCAGGGCCCCATCCAACCTGGCCTTGAACACCTCCAGGGACGGGGCATCCACAATCTCTGTGGGCAGCCTGTCCCAGCACCTCACCACTCTTGGTAAATAGGACAGGTTGACTGTGGCAACAGGGCAGTTGAAGTAAGTATTGGTTCTTTGCAGTTCTGCAGGCTGTGAGTGCTGCTGCATAAAAATGAGTGAGTTTGCAGTGATGAATGGTAGTGTTCATTGAGCTCTTGGTGCTCATCTCATTTGAAGGTGTGCAGGGAACTACCTGCCCTAGCAGCAGTCCTTCTCAAATGCTGGGACCCTGATGCTCTGATCAGAGTACAACACCTGTTCTATAGATTTAATCTGAGCTAGTTTGAAACTGTTTTTAAACCAGTAAGACTATTTAAATATTCACTGGTATTATTTGTGCTCTCTTGAAAACATCCTTAATTTTTGCTGTTCTGCTCTAGTGGGTACAGCTGATCTTCAGGCACAATTTGTCTTCTGCTTCTGATTTTCACTCTTACTAAGGCAGCTTCTGTAGCCACAAGGATTCAAATCTACTTTCTGTAATTGTTGAATGTCACTTAACCTGCTTGAAAAGAACAGAGTGATCCTTTATATTAAGGATTTTATATAGATTTCATGTAAATGTAATAAACGTGGATTTTTTGGTATCAGTTTCTGCTTCTGTTCTGGATTGTCCTTTGTAAGCAGCTGCGTATCTGCCCTGCTGGGGGGATCCCTGAACTGTTTGTTTGGGTCTCTGTGGTGGTTAGAAGGCTGGCTTGTTTTCCCTGTTCAGGTTTCCTTTTGCAGTCCCTAAGGGCAGTACTTGCTTTGGACACGTCTTTTAAACCTTCCTAACGTCAGGTGAAGCAGTGGTTTTTCACAGAAGCCCAAGTGCTTTGTCAGATGTGGTTGGACACAGCTCAGTGAGCACGGTGGTGATGGGCTGACAGTTGGACTAGGTGATCTGTGTGGTCTTTTCCAACCTTAACGATTCTGTGAACTTCCCTTCTGAGCTGCTGAGCAGAAAGGCTGCCAAGCCCTCATGCTTTGTACCTGTTTTTTGAGTTATCTTTGGGGACCGGAAGAAAAAAGTTTTATGTTAGGGACCTTGCACTACTTTATGAGAGAATGTTAGTTGCCTGAGCTGGTGTACAGGAAAGTGGCTCAGAGCATTTTAATGACTCTCATAGACAGAATGAAAAGAATTAGCAGATGGTAAAACGTCAGTGGAGAAGTAAGGATAGAATACTCCTGATGCCAGGTTCTGTTCTAGGTCCTTTCTAGCTCAGAGCGAGAAAAGGCTGTCTGGAAGAGATGAGAGAACATCCAGTCTGGGTGCTCAGCCACAACAATTTCTGTTTTCTCAGAACCACGTGCTGACATCACTTTGAGAAGCCCAACTGTTCGTGTCATAGCCTGAGTGGTTCTGCTGCTGTCTGTGAAGAGAACGGAGACCCCCATTAACACAATGAGGGGGCTTTGCCTGCTGCTTGGTGTCTTGTTAACGTCATTTCATCAGCTCCATCTGGTATGTCAGGATTCGTTTGTACTGCCTACATCAGTATCGGGTGAAGATACCAGATCTGTCTTGAAACTCTTCAGGTACTGGACCAGTATTTGGGCCACAGCAGCGCAGCTGGCAGCCATACTGTGTGCTGTGCAGCCATAACTGCTGTAGGACCTGGGCATTAGGAGCAGCTTTATGCTGGTGTTGTCATTCACAAATGATATGACCAGCATTTTCGCATTATAGGTTTGGGCAGAATAAGACAGCCTATTTCTCTGTTTGATAGTGGAAGAGTATTTCTGGCTTCTAATTGTTCTGTTAATGGAGAACTGAGGATTGGCTAGGGCAAGCTAGAAGATGGCAGGCATAGTGAGGGCTTGTTTGATGAAGCATGGCTGTGTAAGACCAGGATACTTGGTAAGCTCTCACAAAGCTGGCTTGTTCTTCTGTGGGATTACTTGCTTCTTCTAGTCTTCAGCTAATGTGCAGGAGGAAATCATTACCTGACAACACCCCCTTTCAGACCCTTGAGCAGTTCCAGCTGCACTTCAGTGTGAGCATGTTTGGCTGGCAGTGTACCTCAGTGCCAGAGTATCTCTCTCTGCTTATGCTCATCAGAAAAGTGTCCCATAAGAAGTAAGATTGACTTCTCTTAACATAAATGGCTAGAAGGCTGTTGCTCGTACATAAAATGAGATTGCTCTGTGGGATTTCTGCCTTGGTAATTTACTGCAATTGTCAGGCAAGAAAGAAGGAAGTAGAGATGTCTTTACTGGGCTAAAGTAGATGATGCCTGATTCAGTTTGTCTTGCCACTTCTTGGACTTTGTGGAGTGGGCACAAAGCTGGTCAGGGAGTGTAACCCCGCAGAACATACATGGGACTACTTTTAAAAGAACACCTTTAGTCTGTGATGGTTTGAGCTCATGTTGCTGTCATTCTGGGCTTGGAGATTTGTTAAGGGTTCTGCAGGGGCAAGTGTAAAGCTTATCTAATGAGACAAGGCCTTCAAAAGGCGTCTGTGCTAGGGAGATAGCTCAGGTTTTTGTTTGTTTCTTGTTTTATGTATCAGCTGTACAATAAGAGCATAGCACTTAATTGATCTTTAGGGGAAGACGGTTTGAACTTGGAATAATGAGGTGGCTCTGCTGTTTCAGCAGCATTTTGATCAATTTATGAAGCACCCTTAAAACAGTTACGGGACAGTTTTTTTGTTGAGACATAATGCCCTCCTTAGATGTGAAGGGATGTGGGCTCAGTTCTTGTATTCAGTTTGGCTGCTTGGTTAACTGTTGTGGGCATAGGCTGTCACTGGTGAGCTTCAGTGGCATCGCCCAGGCTGAGTTTGAGGACTTCATGACAGTTCTTTACCATTACATTATTACAGTGTAATTCAGTAACCGCTGAAATGTGTGTAGACACTTTGAGGTTCATCTTTACAGTAATGTTTACTCCTGGCAAGAAGAATGTTAGTGTTGGCACTTATTTCCGTGTTTGTTCTTATTCCTACTGTTAAAACCAGCAGGGTGAGTCACACTGAAGTCAGATTATTTGTTTTGTCATAAGCTAGTTGTAAAATATATTAAAAAAATTACTGCGCTAGATGAAGCTTCTGTACTTCACAAATGTAAAATGTCTGCAGATTAAACTCAGGACAGCTGCCATGAGCTACACCTGGCTTTTCTAGATGTAGTGTGGTACTTCACTGTTTTCCTGGTAGCTGATTTAGTGGTTTGCAGCTCTTTGTCAAGGCATGGACTCCTGGCATACTAGGTGCTGTCAGCCCTTCCTATGGAAAGGTAAACTATGGCAATTACCAATTCGGTAATTATGACTCTTAAGATTCAGTTCACAACATAAAGCTAAATTGGTTTAGAGAGTTAACTGCCTCTTGTTCAACACAACCTTTCCTAGACATGTTTTGTTTCTAAGTGCCTTTCTTTAAGACTGCGAATGCCTTTTTCACAAATAGATAATTACCAGGAATATTTGGGTTTGAGTTGTTGTACTGACTGTTTCTTTCTTACCTTTATTTCTACTGCCTGCTGTCACTGCAGGTGGTAAGTACAGGGGCCTTACAAATGCCATTGTTCTGACAGCTTCAGCTCACTTCTGATAAACAAACTCAACACAATTTTTTCCCTTCAGACATTACTGTAGGGAGTTGTTATGGGAAGGCTCAGACCATTGAATGAAGAGAGAATGGGACTTCTCATCTGGATGTGGTGGCAGTAGCAGAAGGACATGGTGAGGAAAGACTGCACTCAGACAGGCTGTTAACAGCATCTGGGTAGCAGGACAGCAGCACACCTGCCTGCTGATTGACAGGGTACCCACAGTGTGTACAAATGAAAGGTGACACCTGGGCTGACAAAGGTTGTTTTCTCTTGCTTCTCTACCTCCCTTTCCTTGTGCTCATGTCTTTTTGCTCTTATTTTCCCCTCATGTTTATAACTTCTTCCATTTATTCTCATCTAAGTTTTTTTTTTCTTCCTTTACCTGTGGTTGCTTTTCCATATTACTTAATCATTGTTTTCTTGTACTTTTTTTCTGCCTCCTTGCTTGCTTGTGCTTTTCCTTGTCTTTCCTCTGTAAAATTGTTCTTATTGCTCTTGTGCTTTCTCTCCATCTCCCCTTTCTTACTAATGCAGTTAAAGAACTTGTTCAGGAATTCTTTCTGGAATTCATGCCATGTTGGTTACTAATGATGTAAATACCTTAAAAGTGGTAACAAACAATTCACAAAGACCGTTTGCTGCAGAGTTGGTAGAAGTGCAATCGCAAGCCAAAATCTGGCTTTTTACCAACTGGAAATCTGGAGTGCCAGAATTCAGTGGAAATGAGAGTAATGTCATTGATGCAGATACTGTGATGCTGTATTTGCTGCAAAGTATCCAGGAGCATGCCTAGATATCAAGAACTTGAAAGTGTGTACTAACAAGAAAGTTGTTTCCTTCTGTGTGTTGCTTACCCCTGGAGAGGAGGCTCCTAGCAGTACCAGGAAAAAAAGATAAGAAATTGATGATAAATGCCATTTTACAGGGTGAAAGACAAAGAACTGTTTATAAAACTGGTTGACAGCAGGGTTAAGAGCATTCAGTAGTGAAAGGAATCTTTAGGGGTAAACTCCAGTGAATTCTGGCGCTGCAAACAAAAACAAAGCTCATGGCTGATAGATTTGTTTTTATTATTATAGAACAGATGAACTAAAATAAGCCAACAATATAATTTTATGCCAACAGCCATCTTTCTAGCACAGGCAGTGACGGACTCAATGTGCCCTTCTCCTCCCTCCCCGGGCCTCCATTCAATGGGAAACACGTGGTGGTGGCTCTTGCACATTGGTTTTAGACCAGTGATCTTACTCTTTTCCCAGGCACATCTTTATAAATAAAAAGAGGAGGCGAAGGGAGCAGGGGAGAGAGCATATATGTTGTAGGAGCAATAAGCAGAAAGGCTTGTGGATCCTCTTGCACATTCACATGTTGTGACCAAGTAGATGTAACAACTGGAGAATCATGCCCACTCTCAACACGTAGCAAGCCCCTAGGTTGCTGCTCTAGTCAAGCCAGGAGTTTCTTCCCCTTCCAAGCTAGCAAAGGGCAAGATACACTCAACTGGGAAGCTTCTGGCAGGGGTCAGGGGCAGTCTATGTAAAACCAAACCAGAAAACCACCCCGCTCCCCCCAAAAACCCAAACAAATCTGCATTTTAAGCCACTTCAAAGTAAAAGTCACTTCTTATAATATAGTAGGTATTTTTAAAATGGCAAGACCACCATCCTCAGAAGATGGAGGGCTTGCACTCAAGACCAAAGAAAGAAAAACCAAAACAACCAAAACAAAACAAATAAGAGTGGCCCCACTCTCAGGCTTGGCTCTTCTCTAAAAACAGCACTCACCATCCACCTGAACAGGTAAAAGGAGGAGTGGACAGAAAATAAAAATTGGTGCAACTTCTCGCCAGGTGGCGCATTAAACCAAAGCTCCGTACAGTCCTGTATGACTACACGTCCTGTGGTGGCAGCATAATTTCTTTCAGCTTTCATAGCTGTATATACCTGTATGTATATCTGAACGTATACATACACATACACACATAATATATAATATTGTTTTTAATGTTAGTTTTGATCCTGGAGGAGGGCTCATCTCTCTTTCACGTGGTTCTGTGCTCCTGCGCTGTTGCTGCTCCCATTGCCGCTCCCATTACTGCTGCTCCCACTGCTGCTGCAGAGGACCTCTGTGAGGTCGTCCATGACGGTGGTCTCTTTAAGGTCCACCAGGTTGAACTCCCTGATGAATAGGATAAAATGTGTGTAGAGCGTGTTTAAGTGTCCGTGCAGCTCCAGTGCCAAAGTCTCCTTAAAGTGTGAGGAGTAGATATGGGCCAGCACGTGGAACAGGTACTTGCAGATCTTCTTCACTAAGGACTCAAACGAGTTTGGAAATTCTTTGCCTGAAAGGAAGACAGAAACACCATAGCAGTTCCAGCTCATCACCTTGAGTCCCACAGCAGCATTTATTCTGGCAAAACTGGACAAGCACAACTAGCTCACATTAAAGAGGTACAGTTTGAAGCATTTTCATTTAAAGTTAAGACTATGATTCTAAGATCTATGACGTTAAACCGTAAGGTTAAAGATGAGGAAGAAAATGTAATGTCTTAAATACAACATTTTTTGTTACGGTAAGAAATAATGAGAGATTATTCAGGGTTTTTAGATAGCATATTTTTCTGCTGGAAACACATATCTGGTAGTCACAGATCATGAAATGGATGCTAAGGTACGTGGCAGACCTCCCTTATTTCATTATTGAAATGCTGTCAGACAGAAAAGTAAAGGAAGGCTACCAGATGCCTTCTATCAGGTACAGTCCAAATTAGGATTGCTGAAGCCCTCACTGCAGAAGACACTTTATGGACAAATAGTGCTTGTGATGCTGACAGTGAAACTGAGGCAAGAAGAAAAACAGAAAGCAGCCATTCTGTGCCTGATGGACAGTAAGAAGTGTTACTGGTCTATAGTGTGTCTTGGCCACAATGACAGATCACTTAGATGAAAGGCCCTCATTGCTCTTTTGAATTAGCATATTAAAATCCACCAAAATAACAGTCCTATCTGCTGCTAGCTTACTAGGCACTGCCTTCTTTCTAAGTAAATGCCATTAGAAAAATATTGTAACATCCTAGTTCCCCAGATACCTAGTAAAGAGATTTAAGAAGCCAGCTACTTTTTTTCCTGATTAAGCCTATCTACAATAACTCTGCTCCAAAGGTATCAGCCTTTTTTCCCTTAATTGAAGAGAATGCTGTCTTGTTAAGATACAAATTTGAGTGAAAATTACTGTTCTGTTGTTTTTCAGTCCCAAAAAATCCTGTTCTTATTTAATCTTTGGAGGGGAATGGAGACTAAACAATCTGAGGAGAAAAATCCCCGTTAGGCAGGGGAGAGGAGTGATGCTGCTGGCAGTGCAATTTATTTCCCACTTAATGCATCAGGGTTCTTAAAGAAACGGTAATAACAAGGTTAAATTTTACTGGCAACACGCTGTGCTTAATATCCACATAGCGACTCTTCTGTCTGAACACAGGCTGCTTCCTAGAAGAAACAGCTGTACCAATGGTAAAATATTAGCCAAGGATTGGGAGATCTTCATCCCAATTCGTATGCCAGAAGTGTAATTATTTGACACTGTAGGAATGAACCCAAAGTAAAATAACTCCTTAAAAATATACTGTGAAAGCTGCCTGTTATTAATATATAAGCTGAACGTCAACTTTCACCTTACTTTTTAGCATCTACAAAGAGCCACATGAAGCAGCTATCCAAAGGCATACCGTATTTTGTAGGAAAGACGTCCTCATCTGTCACAAGTTTCTGCACTGAGCTCATGACGAAGTCGACGTACTGTGGAGCAGTGCATTTGATCTTCTTCCCCCGCTCGTCATACCAGTAGTACTGTCTGTGAAGAGAACCCACAGCGTCACGACGTTACACCCTGGATCCTCAGCTGAACTCCTAAGAGGTGAGTTTCTAAATAATATAAAACCACTGCAGCATTACTAAAGTAAGATTGTAGCTGTCACAGAGGAGATGGACTTCAGGATATCTTTCTACATCAAAAGCCCTAAATTTCTGTTAGTCAGGTTTGCCTCTCCCCATCAATTTAGTCCAGAGCACAGGGAAGTAACAATGAGCCCAAAAAGCCTGCTGACAAGTTTCCAAGTTGAGTTGCCCTGGTGAGGCAGTGTAACTATTTATCTGTGATAGACTGAGGGTCTACAGCCTACAAAGCTGCACAGGAAGGTACCTTATAACTATTCTACTGTTGTTACCTTTAATAAAAGAAAAAAAAGTATAAACAGGAGATCTGATGTATAACAATACAAAGCAATTAAACTTGTAGTGTAATATTATTAAGCAGACAGAAGGTGGCTCCAGAACACCAGGCTGAAAAAGCTTTGAGGTACTTGGGAGTGTATTTAACAAATCGTGCTCCAAAACAGCATCTGGGGAATCTTTTCACAACCCTTTTGGACATTCCGAACTATGTGCCTTAAAATCCTACTCCTTTGTTTCCAAAATCCACTAACATTTGGATTTAGCATCTGATTCTACCATCAGGGCATAGTTCCATGGGATCTTAAAAGGAATGGGACCATAAGCATATTGTGAGGCTCTTGAAAAGCAACCTGAGCTCAATCTCTCAGCCATCATCATCTTGATCAGCCATCAAAACTGAACAGAAACATTCTCTTAATAAGTAACTATTGTAGACATCTGAGAAAGGCATCTGAAGGCTAAAAAAGCACTGAAATTTTGTTCCCTCTATTTTTGTTTCTTTAAATCATGGTTAATTAAAGCACTTCTGTCACCAAAAGCAGGTACTCACTGCATTAGATACGCATGGTAAGAAATGTTTTAGAGATAAAGAAGTGTGCCAAAACCTTTGTTTTTTGTCATTGTCACATTTGAGTTATCTAAGTTCCAGTACCTGAACTGTTACTCTGAACAGTCTAAGCTCCAGCTGCAGGACTAATTATGACACTGATCAGAAAGACACTGTATTGCTCCTTTCAGTTCCTTTGCAACATTTTTCTTTCTTCATTGTGATGTTTAAGCACCTCTGGATACTTTCTTTTTTTTTTTTTTTTCTCCCTTGAGAGATACAGTTTAAATGTTTTTTCTCTGCCTAACAGGACTAATCAACAATGAGCTGCAAGGACCTGTAGGCGCCACTTAGAAAGGGGAGTTTTGTGCATACTGACCATCAGAAATGTTCTGAAGCCCTTAAAGAAAAATGTTACGCAGTGACTGAAAAGCTCTAATTTACAGTTGTGTTGTCACTGCCCAGAAAGAGTAGGGACCTGAGGCTGGTGGTGTGAAGGCAGTAGCAATATGTGATGACAGTAAACTCATGCTAGGCTGTATGAAGACTGGAGGAAAGAGTGCAGAGGTAAGCTCAGACTTAAATGGGAGAGACAACTGAAAACTAGTTCAGCTCATTTTTAGCATGTGGTGCTTATCTCTCTGTTGTTGCCTGCAAAAGGGCATAAATGTGAGAAAGAGGATGAAAACATCAGGCATGAAAAGCTATGTCAGGCATTGAAACTAGGCATGGACTCTACTCATCACTGCTTGTTTCATTTATACAATCCACGTATAAAGAATTAATCATGCACTGTAGTGAGCAAATCTAAGCTAGGTCTGTTTCCTTAGTCTAGTCCAGCTTTAAGCTGGAAAAGCAGAATTATAGGCACCTCTCTGAGTGATTTTTGGTCATAAAAGACCCAAGAGACTCTTGCTTGTTGTCAAGAGCAGACAGGACTGTCTGTACCTTGCTTTTCTCAGGCTGGAGAAACCAACTATGAAATAGGTGCAAAACCAAATCTGAATAACTGCAGTTTAGGTAAAGGGAACAGTTTGTCAGTGCAACTGCACAGTTGCCAGGAAAATCTAAGTTGAATAAGTCTGCTACAACATCCCACTGCATACCCTTTTTGTCCTGGCTAATAATAAAATGAAGGAATTGAGACTAAGGGGATAAACCAAGGATTGGCCTATAGGCTAAAATGATTTGTCTTTCTCATGTTTAAAGAACTGTGAAGAGAACTTGGACGTATCTTGAAGAAAGGGAGGTGTCCCTGGCATTCCATGACTGCCTGGTAAGCAGCTCCCACTCATGCTGAGTTATCTCCAGGTTGCGGCCACCAAAGGACTCAAGAAAGCAAACTGCACTGCACTGCTGGCACTGTGACAGTACAGTGCCATGCATGGTAGGGAACAAATGAAATGCAAAAAGAAAACGGAAACAGACATTTAAAGGCACTTCTCAAAAAGTGCTCACATTATGCAGATTTTGATTTCATTATATTTGTTAAGCTTTCAGAGGGAGAAGAGATTGTGGAGTTGGCAACTCTGTTGTGAGTGGCAGGCAGAAATAAAGAAAGGATTTAAAAGAAAAAAAGCCTGTTATAAAAATAATAAAGTGTAACAGGAGCAAAGTTCAACCCTTACCCATTTGTTTAAGTACAACTCCTTTTTATTTTGTCAGTTCATCCTCTAACCTTAGGATTGAGTATTTGTAGGAAGCCTGCATGCAAAGCAGCTTCCCTAGCACCTTGTTCTGTCACGTTACTTTGACACCTCCACTGTTTAATACACGCTTTGCTGAGGTAACACCGGAACAGATCCAAACCATGCCTGAAGGAAATGGGGTAGGGAAAGCACACTGGAGGAACAAGAGACAGAGCTCTGTACTGAATTATTGAAGTCAGCCCTGAACAAAGTGGCAAACTGAGCCCTTACTTGCAGAACCTGGAGTTCTGTGACAACCTAACATGGGTAGATGCTGCCTATTTCCAAACTGCCTCAACAAACAGATCACAGTTACAGATTGGTCAAATCCAGGTCTATCAGGTTAATCAACAGCTGGCTCTAATGCTTCACTGATACGCTTTATATACTGCAGAATAGCCAGAGGCACAATAAATCTGATCAGCTGTGGTTTCTCCAACACAACACACATCTGCTAACCTTCATTAGGGCAAGGTTTTTGTTTTAAATAAAAAGTGTGAGGAACATTGCTTTGTCGTAATTCTGACTGGATATGAACAAATATGCTTCAATGTGGCACTTCTGCATGATCAGTGAGAACAACTAGGAAAGGCAGAACATAGAAGTAAGGGATATGCAGAATTGTCACAGGAGATATTTGGAGAACAGTTATAAACAGGGCCCTCACAGCTGACCTGCACGAAGGCATGGAGCTGGGTGAACCCACGCTCCATAAAAGAACAAAATATGAAGCCTGCAGTTTGCAAACGCGCCTCAGTCATATGCCTCCAAGTACAGGAAAATAATTGGATACCATTTTGCTAAACACAAACCATTTCAAGTTTTCACCTAAGTGTAGACATGCTTCCTGTTATTCCCTAATAGTGTAATTTTCCATTTTCCCAAACAAAGGATAGGAACAGGAACATTGTGCTATCAGTCCTCACCACTGAAAATACAGCTGAAGCCACATGGAGGCACTTCCTTTCTTTATTCTGCAACATAATCTGCTTACAAGCTCACTACAGCAGAACAGAGCAGCAGTGACCCAGCTTCTCACCACCACCTCCTCTTACCCATTGCTTCCTATCAGTTTGAGATTAACAGTTAAGACGAGTTCCTTGGACAGCCAATACTACATTAATAATTCAAACATGAGAAAGTTTGGGATTGAGAATCAACAAAACACTCTCATACTGATCACCGCCTCTCAGTGAGAGACATGTTGTCCACTTTTGATAAGATCTGGGTCTAGTAGAGATTTTTCTACTTTCTGTTCCAGCCTGCTTTCCAAGCCTCGAACGTGGCTTTTCATTCTCTACTGACGGTTATCTTTTCAACTTTTACATGCAAAAATATCCTCAATACACTTTTAGTTCTTCAGAGCACTGACAAAGGCCCTGATACTAATTTTAAATGTAGAAGATAACAGGATAGCCTAGTGCATAAAGCAAGGATTCCTGTTAAGCACTGCGTAATTCTTGTTAGGGATACAGTACAGAGTTCTGGTCTTTTCCATACATTCTCCAGGATGTTTGTTTGATGTACTATAACATTAACTAACCGCTCAGTCTTGGGTTTTAAAATCCATCTCAACTATATAATCCCAGGAAATGCAAGAGGAGGAAAGAACTGGTCTATCAACACGTGCTAGAGAGAAAACCATACCCAAACAACAGGCTTATTCGTAATGAAGTGGATCTCATATTCCATTATGTTGGACTGTGCTAATCAAGAGCAGGAGTTTATGGTAAATGTTTCTTATATTCACCATATACAGTACTACTACAAAGCCTTCTTTCTAAGCGACAGCTAGTCAACACTTACCAAGTGTACCAAGTCCTGCAGAGGGAAAATGCCAATCCAAAGCATTTTCTGTACTCTTTGCAAAGCTGCCACTTGTGCCCTCTGCTCCCAGGGGCTCCAGCAGAGAGCCAATAGCTCACGTCAGGCCAGAGGTTAGCCGTCAGCAGCCTGGTGCTCTGCCAGCATTCCAGCTATCAAAAAGCACCCCCTGACATTTTTCAACTCATTCATCCTTCCCTGCCTTCTATGGCAGTGTTACCAGTAAGGACAGTTTTCTCTTTTTTCTCCTTCTCCTCCCCGCAGGCTGTACACACAGTAATTTGCCTCTCTGATCTGACTTTATAAAACCAGCTTCAAACAGTCAAAGATCCCGTCCTCCTAGTCCTTCACAACAACACCCTTCACTGAGAAGAGGTAGAAGGATGCCCAGCTGCTGTGTTCTTACTGAAGAGATCTGCTCGCCCCGTGCCACCTAATTCCAGTATCTTTCCCCAAGCTCCTCCCAAGGCTTTGTGGAAACCCTGTAGTAATAAATACTGACTTACGTATTGCACACTGCCATGGTCTGACACGACTCTCCTGTACAGAATTCTGAGATTGTACTATATTGTAAGTTGATGTGATGAAAGAAAGTTGTTGCTGAAAAATAAACATAAAGGAAAGAAGTTAAGAAATAAAACACTTTCAAACACCGGTTGTCCTCCTGACGATTATTTAAATAGATCAAGTTAAGTGACCTCAGTGTCTTAAGCTTGCATACATACTTAAACATGATTTAGTTAAATGAGTCTAATGATGAATTGCAAAACAAAGAAGTACAGAGAATGAAAGCTCTTGTTTTGATTTAAGATGAAAGCACTACGATGCATCAGCTCTTATTACTCACAAAGCAGCAAGACTGGAAAGTGTCCTGTCATCAGCCTCACCTTTACAGTAGAATGCTCTGTTACAAGCTGAAGGCAAACAATTTTCTACATTCTTTTGAAGTCAGACTTAAAATGCACAGTGGCTACAAAACAACATTAACAGTCCTAATGACGTATCTCCCTTGAGAAAATCAGCATGAAAACAAGTACACTGCTACTTTTAACAAATCTCCTGAGGTATTAACATTTTAAAACTGTGCGACCCCTCACTTTTTCTTAATGAGCCACTCTAAACTTTTCTAATACAGATCCAAGTAGCTTCTTGCTACTGCCACATCCTGTTAGAAATGAAAACGTTGGGTCACAGCCACAGGTTAGAATGGCACACAAAACAGCAGCACAAGAAAATACATCAGAACTGAGATGCGTTGATACAGCACTCAATTACAGTCGCTGGTCACATCTTTTGAGACCCAGCCTGACTGCAGTTTAAATTCAAAGTAATTCCACCAGAGCTTGGATGGAATGGAGAGAAGTCATCTAACCAAAAGACTCCTGAACTTCTGGTTGTTAACTCAGCTTTCATAAGAACCTTACTAAACTACAGTTTTAACAATGCTTCTAGAAGGCCAACAGCTTGAGTGTGAAAGAGGCTGAGCTGCACGTTTAGCAGAGCAGTCAGAAGGGGAAGTGATGGGCCTCAAGAGTGTTAGAAACTTTCATGCCCTTGGCGCCAAAGTAAGACAGAGGAAGAAATGCATCCAGCCTCCCCAGTGCTGAGCACAGTTGGTTTGTATAAGACAGCTTAATTACAATTCAAGGTATAATGACATGCATTATGCAGTGAGCATAAATAGTCATTGCGTGCTTTTCTAAGTGCTGAAAACAGTAAAGAAAAAAAAAAAAAAGCAGTGAATGAATGCCTACTTGGGTGTGGACAGCAATCTCGAGGGCTGTGTGATCAAAATACTCACTGTTGCTGGCGAGCCACTCGTTGAGGTCTATTTCTCGTGGTAACATCACCAGCTCCTTAAATTCAAAGTCGGTAATTCTGGATTTTGTGTATTCTGGCTCTAGGTAAAGTTTCTTCTCTTCCGGTGCTGGCTTTTTACCATTTGGCTTTCCCTTGGACTTCCTGCAAGACATGAAAAAGAAGATGGGTTACCTTCACTGCTGGTGAACAGCTGAAGAAACCTAAAAGAAGTCTGTTTATCCAAACTCCTGCATTTGTGTTTATACTGTTTCTCCTGCTTCCTGTCCCCTCAGCCAAACTTTCTAAATAAAGCAAGAGGTAGTTTTTGAGAAAGCACATTTGAATTCAGTCACTTTTTTCAAGTTACTGGGAAAATTTTGTATGGTATAAAAAACTTCAGACTGAACAGTTGCAACTCCATTGCCTTTCTGTCAGTTTGGACTGTAAGTTATTTGGGAGAGTGACAGCTGGTCTATACCTGTGAACAGTTGTGACAGCAAAATGGTACTGCACCCAAAGGAGATGCTCTGATGTAAGTGTGCTGCCTACCTGCTGCATCACAGTAACTGCCACCTGCAGTAAAAGCAGATTGTTGCAAGAAGATGGCTCCCACTTGGGAAAATGCTCTTTCCATACAATGTTGTGGCACTGCTTATTCAAAGCTACAGCATTACTCAGTACTCCATCCCATTCTCTATTCTCAGGTTCCACACATCCTTTGGAAGTGAGCAATGGTGATTCCAGGAGCAATGACAAATACAAGAATACCTGCTTTCCCAACTCCCAGTATATCTGAGACAATAGAATCAGAGGTGTTCATTGTTTGTTTTTTTTCCTGGAAATCCTTTAAAATCCACTGCAAAGAGCTACTAGCAGAGCTGTGTCATGAAAGAAGCCTCCACAAGGATTTATAAAAGCAGACTAACAGCATCCCATAAAGTACATTGATCTCCATGGAGTACCATCTCCAGTTTCTCAAGTGTTTGCTGAAATTATCAGTTTTCCTCCCACTCTGTTTTTAACACCCTCAAACTAGACTGAACACAACCAGAATTCCTGGGATGGGGGTTCAGGACGGACACTTGAGCAAAGTCAGTGGGCCACACTTTACTTTATTTAGGCCATATGTGGTCAAACAGCTGCAGATCCACGTGTTTCTACAATTAAAAATTCCACCTAATTGGAAACAGAAGCTCTATTTAATGGTGGGGGACAAGTGCAGTAGGGTGATGGTTGGTATGTACCATCACATACATGAAAGATGCTGGGATTTTCCAGTGCCAGGTCTTCTTGGTTAAAGAGTGTGTTTTTAAGGTCATGTAAAGCCATGACAAGTCCACCTTTGCAGATGACTGCATTAAGTTTGCTTTTGAAACATGCCTGGATCCCATCCCAAGGAAATTGTCTTGCATTCTGGCTCTTAGCACACTTAAAAAAAGAAATCTTCAAAACATGTCTCCAGAATACAGCCTTGATTTTTGCTTTATGACTGGGTTGCACATCTTCCCTAGAACGGTGTTTCACATGTCAGTGCTTTTCCCAAAGAACATAGGGTCATTTGGATTTCTCTCCTTATGGGCTCTAAACCCATCTTCAGAACGACTCACGGTTCCCATCTTCAATGCTGCACTAAGTGGGCAGAGGCACGCCATCACTTTCTACAATTCAATCACGAGGACTGTCACCATTCACCGCCTAGAACTTTCATTAAGCCGTGTTGCATTTCTCCCTACCCACCAAGAGTGACTTCAAGATGAGAAAGGAATGCCATCATCAAGGAAAGCTTACAACAGCAGCACGATACACACACAGTCACAATGTATTTTCATGTCATGGATGTGTAGGAACAACCACAGGAGATCTCCAGTATTAAAGATGTATTCCTGTAATCTCTGTATTCCTACATGTTCATGAGTAATGTCAGTTAGAGAGGACACACCTGTGATTACAAACATCTTTTTAAAGACTACATATCCAATAGGAAATAAACTAAAAGCAGTACTTCAGATGACCAGTTTAGCATGTAACTGCTTTTCTTTCACATTTTCTGTCATCTCCTTTTTCCACAGCAGTACATACCAACCCAAATGAAGCCTACAAGATACATATCCCTTAGGTTGATTTAATTAAGCAATCTGGACAAATTCACACGCAGCCCAAAGGGATGTCCTAGGACATGTGAAGTCAGACATTTCAAAGCAGAATACTTTAAACACACAGGAGTTACTTAGACTGGCAGATCCTGGTTCTCAGCTATGCATTCTTGTCTTCAAACCCTTATATTTGCAAGATTGCTTTTGAACCTCATCACGTAGAAGTGACCTGGAGATAAGAAAGAAGCGTCCACGAAAGAATTGCAGAAGGGCCTTGGAGGTGTTTAAAGAAGGTATGAAAGATACCTTCACTTCTGCCTGGGCGTGAGGCTTCAGGTTTTCAGAGAACTTGAAATAATACCCAAGGAAAACATAATGACAAGAAAGAACAGATTATTGTTTGATAATCTGTAACCTAACTTTATATGACACAACACGTTTGTCCTGTTCCTTTCGCAGGACTACCTTATTAAGTCTTGAAACTACCTTACCCTGACAGTAAGCAGCATAAATCCACTTGATACTATTCATTTGGCTCTGAGCTAATAAAAAATACTCGAGGGCACTAATTTGCCTAATTCCAAACATAAGCTGCCTTACTCCTACACTGCTGAAACCAAGCCTGGTGTGCTCCAAGTAGCACCTCCATACCAGTTGGACCTCTGAAGAGACATTATTAACGTCTATCCAGAATGTACACTTTGAGTTTTTTTCAACTGGTTGGTTGGGGAAAGGAGCAGGATTCAGATGCTCATGGATAAGTTGATTTTTTAAAGAAATGAGAGTTATAATTGAGTAACACTCAGGCAGAATATCCTTTCAATTTTAAAGAGTGGTTTGCAAAACCGCATTAACCGCTTGGGAGAAGAGAAGCAGTGTGGATAGAACAGACTGCGTACCTTTGCTTTACTTCAGGACACTTAAACAAGAGCCCTGGGTCAGGGCTGTGCCACGTCAGCAAAGAGGAAGAGGAGGGAAGAGAGAGACCAAGAGGTCACAGATAGTCTGCCATAGAGCCAAGCCTGCACAGGGAAACCACGGGAGGAAGCTGGATGCAGGAGGCTGAGGCAGCCCTTGCAGTGAAGGAAAGCGGATTGCGTTTACCTCATTCTCACTTTGGCATCTTCTTGTCATTTCAAGGAAAGAAACAAAAATTCAATGCTAGGTATTTCCCACAAGTTTGCTAACACAAACGATTACGAGCAGACCCTGTACCAGAAAAAAAACCCAAAACACACCCAAGCTTATTTCCACACAAATGTCAGTTCTCTGCTGGATTGGTACATGCAGCCACTTTGCATCTTTCAACAGACGGTAAGTCTTTCCACAACTACCTCATCTGGAACTGGATCATTTCAAACAGAAGCTTCCTGAAGGAAGCCATGCCCTGCCCCTTTCCAAAGCTCTGCCCCACTTTAAGAAAGAACCCATCTCACAGGTACCAGCACAAAACCTGCAGCAAGGCCCGCGATCACTGATATGAAACACTTTTCATTCAAGCTGCTGAAACCTGAATGTCAAAGCATCATCTGCAGCACCAACTTCTTTTTAACTTCCAGCAGCTGCTGAGCATTAAAGCAAGACCACGGGATTTGTTTCTACGGTCAAATTTTCATGACCTGCGTGCAGTTTGGTTGGGATATTACATGGTGCAAACGCTGTAACTACAAACAAAAACATATCCCAGCTTTAGGAATGCCACGATTTGAAGTGGACTGCACATCTTTCCTCAGGCAGAGCTGTGGTTATAATGTCAGACTTTATAGCATTAATTGAATCATGCTCAGTCTGGGTTGCAAAACCATTGGTTTAGCTTAGAAACTATCAATAATAGTCAATACTAAAGCAGACTTAGAAGGCTGGAGCATTCAACAGTATAGAGAGAACAGTTTAAAAAACATGACGACACATGATCAAGAGTCAACAAGTAACAGTAGTTTTCCATATAAACCAAAGCTCAGACATTTATCAAAAAGCAAGAAGTTAACAACTTAGCTTCTTTCTGCTCTCCTTTCCCTCCAAGTGCAGCACTGTTTCAATGGCTTGTAAGAAACCACCATCTACCTGGAACCAACTCCAAATGCACAAAGAGAAGCAACTGTTACTCTTTGTTGTGTGCTGCAAAGCATTTAAATTCAAAAGGCCTTCTTCAATGTTTTGTTTTAAAGTACACAAATACAAAAAATAATGCGTTGCTATTTCTGAGCTGTCCCAAACACCCTTATAAGGGAACACTATGGCAGCAAACATAATCAGAAACAGTTCATTCATCCTGCTTTCAATGAAAGGAAATGTGTCAAAAACAGTAGAGTTGCATTGTTCTACTCAGGAAACACCCAAATCCATCACCTGTAGTCTATTTACTGGAAAATGGATCTCAATGTCGTAAGACCACAAGAAGGGCAATATCCTAAAAAAAAAAAAAGAAAAGAAACCCACATCCTAAAGCCAGTGGAAGTCCTGGTCTGTGTGTACCTCTGTCTTTTTGAACAAGAATGAGGATTCTGCTAAATGTGTCTTAGCACTTGTATGCCAGATCAATGTACCCCCAGTGCAGCTGAAGAAATGGCCACTGCACAGCACTATGGGGAGGTCTGTCAAGGTGCTTGACTATTAATTAAGGAAAGAACATCTTTATGGAAGCCAAGGAAAGGCAGCACTCAGCAGTTTTTACTGACAGGTAAACCAGAGTGCTAATTCATTCTTCAGATAAGTCTCAGGATAGGTTTGGCTTTGTTTGGTTTTAGGCACACCTATAAGATGCCATGGGCTAAGTTACATCCAGGAGGAAGATCCAGAGAAGGAAAAGAGATGGTAAAAGAGAGGTCACGCACATGAAGCATCATAACAGAAGGTATGTATATATCTGAGTATATTCATTACTGCCTGGGCTTCCTTACTCAGCCTTGTGTTCACCTGAGAAATCACAGCAGCTGGAAACCTGCCTGGATCTCAATGGACCAAGAGAGATGTAAGAAAACCCCAGTGAGTAACAGGCCTGCTGGGCCCTGATCATCTTCCTGGGCTAACTGCCTTGTTAAGATTCAAGTACAAATGCCAGTTTAAAAA